GCACCGCCACGTGAAACCCGCTCAAATTCCTACTTTTTAATGAGCTGTGTTTTACATAGGACAATAGGCATTTCCTCGATTCATCAATTTCAGTTTGACTGTCTACCAGGAGCACAACCATCAGAGAGGTGGCTATAATTGTGAAACATGTATCCCTAAGCATTTATGGCTGCAAACTTATCTATTGTTATGTCAGACAATCTGCTATTACTTCGACTAGAACCAGAGGCGAATGTTATAAACCTCACCTTCAGAATCACTGCTGAAACTAAAGTCCGCATAGTTCTCCTGGCCGTCGCTGGCGCGAGATCCAAACGCCAGCACAAGCAGCACCTGTGGCAGGAAAAGAAACTTCGGGTGCTTTTTGCTCACCTCTTGAATTGCCTTCCGCACTATGGCGACTCTTTCACTTCCCTCGTTTCTGCTCTATCTGCTTTTTTACGCTCTCGTCGGCTCAGGGCGAAGTCGCCTGACTTTCACCACTAGAGTTCGATTTTCGTAGAATCCCCATGAGAAATTGTTTCGACAAAACCAGTTTGCGTGCGTTCAACCCCTGTGAAGCGATCTAAACCTACCCCTATCCTATTCCTTCAAAATTCTCGTCCCCATAGGAAGTTGACGCACAGCGCGTGCGAGACGTGAGCGCAAAGACCCTCCATGTCGGCGATTCCTTCACTTGACTATGGCTGACGTGACTTGACATTACAGCGGCCCTACAGGGCGCTAATGAACGGAGGATTACTCCAGTGCGCTCAAAACTCCTTGCGGAGTTTGCAGACGCGTGCATCGATATAGACGCAACAAATTCAAAAAAAGTCGGGGTAGCGAGTACTTTTCCGCCTTCAGAATTTTTTATTTAATTGCCACATTAATTACCCCATTCTCACCGAATTAAACCATCTGTCATTTAAAAAAACTCTTTACAAATCGAAGGATATTGGGTGAGGAAAATTAATATTTTCAAGCAAATATTGACACAAATTTGAGCGCTATAACTGTGTTCATATATATACATCACGTCCCAACAGTAACACGCAATTAAGAAACATTCAACTGCCAAGTTGCAGCGCCAAATGTCATACATTAAAGTAATCTTACTTTAAAGTTTCGTGAGAAGTTAAAATTAATAGTAACTGAAAAATGACCCTCATTTCCTCTCCTCGTCCGTGTATCCGCGCCTGTTATTATATTCAACTGCATCGTTGGGGCTAACCTGTATTTATAAAACAAATCAGAAACATTAGTACCCTATTTCCAAGTTCATAAGTTTGTTTGAGATTCCATTACGGTACACTGTACCGTAGGTTCCACTTTCCGGCCTGGTGTGAGGGACATACAACAAACAAAATGCGACATCGTATGAAATAAATAATACTTACAAGTGGTACTGGAGAGAAAGTCGCCATCTTCTTCATTCTGCACAGAGGCTTCTGATTCTCGCCAGGAGTATTTATAGAAAAAAAATTAATGGCCGCCACGACATTCGCGAATAATCAGAATAATTAAATAATCGCACGTGGAACACCACGATTGGCGGAAAGACTTTCTATCTGAGAAGCGACAATAATTCTCAAGTGTTGATCTTTGACACCATGAAGGAACTGTCTGGCCATTAAAATTCTTTTATTTTAATCCATCAACATTGCTATAGCTTATTTTATGAAATTAACTTTGATGAACTTTGCTCTGTACCTATTCTTCTTCGCAACCTTGCCACTATCATAAACTGTCATGCTTCGTGTCAACGAAAAGTCAAGGATTCCTTTGGTTTACACAAATTACAGCTAACTATAAAGTTGTATTTTCGTATACGAGTATTATATAGAGATTATGAAGCGTATTACCAGCGATTCCCTTCTTAATATTATTCACTTTTTTCAAACTGTTTAAAACATCTGATAATAGACACGGGAGTTTCAATTTTTTTTTTATTATTCGAAATCGAAATTCGGGTCATCGAAAGTCGAAAAAGGAATGTGATCATCCAAAAGTTCGCTTTCACAAAAACATTGAACCTAAATTTTCGGATTCTTTTTTTTTTTTAATTTACGTAATAACAAACTAATGTTCCAGCGGAAACGCACTGACTTTCTCATACTATTTAGTTACGGAAATTCTTTAGTCTAGGCTAGCCCCATCCTCTTCCCAGCCTCAAACGGTTGGAATATATAAGATTTAAAAAAAACATTTTCCCAATGTTTGGGTTCCTTAAAAGGAGTATTGACACATGAATTTAAGAATATTTTAGATGAAAACTGGTGACGATAACACATCACGTTTGCTCGCACAGATTTTAAAAACTCCGTAATATTATAAAACTTCTTAACCGTGCTATTGATTGTACATGATAAGTTTTATTAATCAGGTTCTACTTTAATACAGACAATCAGTGCATTTGAAATAAAATTAACAGTTCTTAAACATAGTTTATTTCACAAAGTCTTGGAAATACATCGTTTCGGGGCGC